AAGCGCATTTATGTCTTATCATGTCGGGCTGCTCCCTAGGCTATAAATAGGCGCCCCCTACAACCACTAGCTGGTTGGCTGCTCCGAGAGAAATTGACACTTGTCATTTGAGAGCATCCCATCCTCCAAGAACTTTGATGAAAATCATCAAGTGAGGAAAACCCAAATCCAAACACCTACAAACCCCAAGTGATTGAGCATCACTGAAGAGATTGATCCTGCGTGGATCCAACGCTTGTTACCTTTGAAGATTATGCATCTTCTAGATGGTTAGGCATCATGGTCTAAAGCATCCAAGAGGAAATTGTGGATCGCCGAGTGACCGAGTCTGTGAAGGTTTGGAAGTCACCTGAAGACTTACCACGAGTGATTGGGTGAGGTCTGTGTGACCTTAGCTCAAGGGGAATATGGTGAGGACTGAGTGTCCTGAGCTGCGTTTTCAGGACTGGGTGTCCGGGACTGTGTGTCCTCAGGTTTAAATACCTAGCCGCCCTAACCAGACGTACAACTGTCACAACAGTTGGAACTGGTCTACCAAAACATTATCTTCACCAAGCTACCTGGTTCCATTTCCTCAACCCTTATGTTTCCTCATTTATAGGTTGTGTGCTTGTTCATATCTATTTTAAGAATTTGACTGAAGACTTTCTCTATTTCCTCAGTTCAATTTCTTCAGTCTGTTTGTCTTATCCTGTGTTATCATGTGTTTACGCTTTCTGTACTCTATGCTTGTTTTCATTTCTTCATGAAGACCATGCTCATGCTCTGTTATGTTTACTTCTGAGTACTTATTCTGCTGCAAGTACTTCTTCACTTAGGAATTACCTCACCCTGAAATTCCTCAGTGAAGAATTCATAAAAATCGCCTATTCACCCCCCTCTAGTCGATATAACGCACTTTCAGGAGTGACACTTGCGTAGAATCTGTTCCTGTTCATGCTCAGTTACACAAGTCTAATAACACCATCTACTCCTTCTTTATAAAGGTGTTGGTCATCCCAAAAGTAATGTCTTAAATCATAGAAAAACTTTTTCTTTTGTTGGTATGTGTGATACGTCTCCAACGTATCTATAATTTTGATTGTTCCATGCTATTATATTATCTATTTTGGATGTTAATGGGATTATTTTTACACTTTTATATTATTTTTGGGACTAACCTATTAACCGGAGGCCCAGCCCAAATTGCTGTTTTTTTGCCTACTTTAGAGTTTCGCCGAAAGGAATATCAAACGGAGTCCAAATGGAATGAAACCTTCGGGAGCGTTATTTTTGGAACAAACGTGATCCACGAGACTTGGAGTGGACGTCAAGAAACAATCGAGGAGCCCACGAGGCAGGGGGCGCGCCCTCCACCCTCGTGGGCCCCTTGT